TTAATTAACGAAACAAGATTAATTAGAGCAGCAGGCTCGATCAGGCACACAAGAAGAAGCAGTGTGTAATTCTTAGTACTTTCAAGGAGTTTGACCAAAATATATAATTTTTTAAAATATTTATAAGGTGTAATGAGTATCATTAGATAAATTATAGAACATATTATTTTTATAATAATAATAATCTATTTGGAGTTATAAGTATCAATAATATTTTATGTACATCTAATCAAACTTATTTAAGAAAATTTGACTTAGTTCAAATCTAAATCTAAAACGACAGTCTTTCGGAATGGATGTACGTAGTATATATAAATTGGGGTCATGCCGTCATGCATGCATCCGGAAGCTAGCTATGCTAGATCTAGAGATCCATGATGCAGTGCGCGTGCAAATTAATTAAAGTTCAAGAAAGAGCGTCCATCCTTGATGTTCGCTAGCTCTTGCACAGCTGTGACTCGTGAGGAGGACAAGGTGCAGTTGCTTTTGCTTCTGCTTCTGCATGCAACACCGCGACTTCATAAAGTTTGATCCATCAGTCAGGAGAAAATAGGCTCGCTCCTAACACCTTTTGCAAACGTCACCTAGCACACATAAACGATTTGCATGTACGCATTACAGATGGCAAACTAGATTAATTATAGATTACCAGATGAGTCGGCAACACTCACCGCCTCAACCAAGACGATGGTCTGTGTTAATCACCGAATTACACTATAGGGTCTCCTCCGGTAATACACTTTGCTGAGACAACGGATATATATATTAAGACACTTAGCTTGCCTCTAAAAATAAATTTCAAAACAAAAATCGCTGCTACAGCAAGAACCCAGAATTTTAGTCACAAGGATGTTGAGGCATATGCTACAACTGCAGGACATCGACTCATCTCTTGCGCATGCATTTATATATAATACAACACCAGACTGCCGTCGCCTTGTGATGATAGCGAGCAGACGTACGCGTCATCGCTCGTCCACACCGCGCGTCTCGTGACCTCGAGTCGTCGTCGTTGTGTTTTCCTTTGTCTTTTGGACGACGCAGAAACCGGACCGGGCATGCAACAGGAGGCCCAGCTGGGCCCCCGGCCCGGAGCTGTGATTGCGATTCTCCTTTGCGAAACGGAGGCGATTTTACACAGGAATACGAAAAAGGTGCTAGTATCCCCTGCCCGGTCCCGCGCTCTTCAAAACAAGTGCAACGCAAGAAAGGAAAGGCAAGGGCGTCCCCAACAGCGTGTATTTGAATCGTTGGCTGACGTGGAGACTAGAAACAATTATGTAAAAAAGAAAAAAAAAGTTACATAGGGTAACAAGACTCTAAACATGTTAGAGATAGGTTTAGAAAAACTTGGGACCTAGACTCTTGAGCTCTCGCTGGCGACTTCAACACGGTTGGGACGACGCTAGCGACCTCACACTAGTAGAGAAATGGGTTGTAGTACCGGTTGGGAACTGGCTTTAGTCCCGGTTTCCCAACCGGAACTACGGGACTAAAGGTCCTGGCCTTGAGTCCTGGGTCACATAACCGGGATTAAAGGTCTATCATCAGGAGAAAAATAAACGAAATTGTAGGGAGACCTCTCTTGTGATGTGTGAGATTCGAACCCAGGACCTCTTTCCTCGCGCATAAACTCCTTACCAATTCAGCTGTACACCATATGTGACAGGGTCCTGGACACTCTCCTTTTGAATTGACCTGTGGGGTACCTTTAGTTCCGGGTGGGAGACATTTAATCCGGGTTGGTGACACCAACCGGGACTAAAATGTCACCCTTTAGTCCCGGTTGATATTACCAACCGGGACTAAAGGTTGAAGGACCTTTAGTCCGGGTTGGTAACACCAACCGGGTATAAAGGTGGCCTGCTGCGAAAACGTGCCAGGACAGGGGCCTTTAGTCCCTGTTGGTAGCTCCAACCGGAACTAATTCTTCTTTTACTCTCGGATGTAAAAAATACCGAGACTAAAGCCTAAAATCGAAGCAGATGAAATGTCATTTCTCTACTAGTGTCAAATTGGCATACATCGTCGAGGAATCAAGTGCAATCTACATTTTCTATTAAACAAAGATATATATGTCTATTTGGTTCTCGTCCATGGTCTCCATGACGTGCTCGGCTAGCTAGCTTCCCCAGCTCGGCGCGATACTCGCGCATGGTCTCCTTGAACGCCAGCGGGTTTGAGGTGGTCGCGATGCTCGGCGCCATCCCACCACTCTTCGCGATGCTGGACGAGTATAATTAATACATATATATAGAAACTACTCTATTTCTGCATTGAGTGTGCCCTAAGGACAACTCTACAAGATTGACTAAAACCAATCTCCTTTTCCTATATCAAATAATAAAAAGGACTGAAGCAGGAAAATATACTCCAGCAAGTCTCCTTGCTCTAAAAAAATTTCTCAATCACTCAACATCTCTCCTCTCTCCGTCAAATTAAGAACGTCTAGTGATTTTTCTCAATCTCCTTTCTCCCTTCCTCTCCCACTGACGATGTGGACCCACGCTACCAAGCACGCATAGGAACCGCGTCGCCGGTTTGCCAGCTCGCCGTGTTGTGCCCCGTCGGGAGGTCCGCTCCCGCTGGACACCAGCTATTGGCAGGTAGGCGTGCATGCCACCCTGCACACACACACACACGCGCGCATGGCACTACCGCTGTCTTGCAGAGCAAGCTGCTGCAGCCGCACCCCCGCGCCTCCAAGTACTGTTGTGCCTCGCGCTCCCGTGCTAGGCGGGTGAGGCCCACGTGACCACGGACGGAGCACAGTGGGGGCCAAACTGGGCTCCGCCCTCCCTTATCCAAAACAAAATTTTCAAATATAGTTTGTGGTCACTTGTATTTTGTAAAATGTGACCCAACTATAAATATATATAACTAGCTAGTTTTAGTCCATAACTTAGTTAAGAGTAGTCTGACAGTCTCTGTAGTCATTTGATATGTGATTAGTTAAATTTATTATAGTATATATGGTTTTATTTCTGATGTCAACATATTTCACTTGTGTTTTTATCAAGTTGGCCCCCTCTTATTTTGTGCCGTGCTCCGTCGCTGACGTGACCATGTCATGCCGATACTGTTGCGCCGTGTCTTGCTAGAGGCCGCCGGCATCAGGAGGACTAGGAGAGGAAGAGACCGCTGCTGACATTGTAAGAAGGAATAGCAACGGGAGAAAAGAGAAGAAAGGAGAAAAAGATATTTTTTCCACCAGTGATATGCGTGGGTCCCATATATTAAGGGGGACGGGGCTTTCTCAATCGGCTGGAGTATATATCCTCTGAACTCTGAAGTTAGTTTTCTCAACCTCCTATACTACTCCCTTCATTTCAAATTATAGGATTCAAGATTCCTAACTTTTGCTGCGTATCTAGATATATATTATGTTTAAATTCAGTAAAAACTATGGATCTAGAAATGCCAAAGCATCTTATGATTTGGAACGGAGGGAGTAGAATTTAAGAGAAATAGGAAAGGGGATTTAGTGGAGTTGCTCTAATCGTATAAATCACTAAGTCAGCCAGTTAGGTAATCAAAATGTCGCCAACTTGAGTTAGTCAGTTATAAGTGCAAACAAATTGAACAAATAAACGAGTCAACCAATAAAGTCAACATCTCTATTTTGAAATGCAATGGATCTAAATTTATCAAAAGTCAAACTACTCTAAATTTGTGTGGAATATAATGGGTCTGAATTTATCAAAAATGAGATTATCCTAAATTTACAAACATTTATAACATCAATGAGACAACTTTATAAAAATGTATTTCGTAATCTATCTAACGATCCTCATTTGGTGGTACCGTAAATATTATTGTTTCTCCTATAAACTTTGTTAAACTCAGTACGGTTCCACGTAGGCAAAAGAAAAAAATATCACATTTCGAGACGGGGGAGTGCAAAATACATGCACAACATTTGATCTGCTACTCTCGGAAGTGTTGGGCCCGGTGTGGAAGTGGAACCGATAAGAACCGGCCCATAGAAGGACAAGAAGAGTCTCTTCTAGTGCCGTAGAGAATAGAGATACGGTAGCTGAGAAGATGGTTGCATGCAGTAGTTACTTAGCATGTGTTTGGTTGAACGGATAAAGTGGATTTGGGATGGGTCCAGTTTTGCTAGTGTTTGGTTTGGGGACCCAGCCTGTTTGCTTGAACTTATGGCTTATCAGCTAGAATTTATAATATTTTTCTCTCACAACAAAACAGCTCAACCGAACGCTATTGTTAGATGCGGGTCGACTCGGTTCCTTCAAATCGAGCGGACGTGGTCGACCCACTTCTCGTGCGAGAGAGAGCGAGCGACCATAGCGCAGGGGCAGAGTGCGGGGCCGTGGGGGCCAAGCGCCGGTGCGGAGCAAAGCACAATGGCGGAGCGCAGGGCTGCGGGGCCGAGCACAAGCACGGAGTAGAGCGCGGCTGCCGAGCGCGACGACGGAGCGCAGGCTGCAGGGGCCGAGTGCAGACGCAGAGCAGAGCGCGGCGGCGGAGCGTGGCGGCGGAGCATGGGGCTGAGCGCCAGGGCGGAGCAGAGCGCGGTGTGGGGCTGCCGGGTACGGCCTGAGCGAGAGGAAGAAGGAGGGCATAGAGGCTGATGTGCGGGTCCATGTGGCAGGGATCTCAATCCACATCCCATGTGTCTCAGACCAAACAAGAAACCGAGATGAACCCGACCCACACAACAAAACAAAAAACAGAACCACTCCATTCCAAAAAAATTCAAAGATGGATCCAACTCATCTTAGAAAGTCCCACAGCCAAACACATGCTTAGGCAGTGCCACGTCCTTGAAGTTGTCGCCACATGTGTCTGACTCACTAGTACACCTCTCTGCAATCGGAGTTCTACTATAAAGACTAGTAATCCTCAACGTACGTCCGACATGTTGCCTTGCTATCTTTTGGATTTTGGCAACTGCGTGCTGGTTTAGTTTGGAGGCGCAGTGCAGTGCAGCTGCAGCCGTCGTGCGAAAACTGTGTGAGGGAGAGAGAGCGGGCGCCATGGCAGCCGTACTTGTAGTGGAAACTCTGCACATGGTTCCCGGAGACGGAGATACAAGCTACGCTCGCAACTCCACTTTTCAGGTATCTTTTTGGTCTAATTATTATGCTATTTGAATCTGTCTTCTGCCTGTCATTCAAATGTGAGCTAGCTTGCGCACACGGACGCATCAATTAATAACTAAATTTAACGCGAGAAGAGATGGGCAATGGAGAACTTGGTATATCACAGCCCATGCATGGTTCTTTGTTTCATTTCAGAAAGGACCTTCTTCAGGCTTATTCGTATTCCTGTCAAAGCCCCCAAATTTCCAAATTTAAGAGGATGTACTCCAACTACACAACTAAAAACAAATTAGTTTTGCAACCAGCGAAAACTAGCTGTAAACATCCCCAAAAAAGATAACGGAGGTGGACATCTTAAGATACCGGCCTCCGAATCGATGATTTTCGGAGACGACGGTCGTCTTAGGACGTCAGTCTCTATAAATGATTTTTGAAGACGGGCATTTTAGCTATGCATTTACAGAGACGGTCGCTAGGTGTGCCCGACTCCTGAAATGATTTGATCAGGTGTCCTAAAATCATTTTTCTAGTAGTGCACGACAAGCATCGTGTTGTTCGTCGGGGGTCAACGTGTGGACCTCCGGTGACTTAAGCACTCAAAATACTTAGGGACACGAGAGATTTATCCTGAGCCCTACGTCCAGCAGTTTGATGTATTCTTCGTGTTAGGAATCACTACGCCAGAACACATAATCACTGCTAGACTACTGCCGGTTATGGTGGAGCTGAGACAGTGATAAGAAGATTATTGTCGGTTCGTGACTTCAACTGACAGTGATAGCACAACAGGTAGTGATTGGTAAACAATCACTGTTGGTTCGTGGCTCTGTCTGGCATTGGTAGACATGGTACTATCACGATCAGTTGAAGCCACGAACCAGCAGTCATAGGTCCACCCATCACTGCCAGTGTGTGGCCACAATCTGACAGTGATAGCCTGTTTTGCATTAAAAAAATTCATAATTTTTTCATACGACATCGAAATTAAGATAAAGTTTATGTCAAAGTTATAGAGTTTAAAGAGATATAAGACTTTACGGTTGACAACTTTTTGATTTGAGATGGTTTACAAGTTCAAAAGTTCTCGGATCAGATTTGAGATGATTAGCAATGTCGAATGGAGATGAAGTCAATATCAAATTTGGAACATTCGACGAGATCTACAACTATGCAGTTAACAAATTTTTTATTTAAGATCGTTTGAAGTGTCAAATATACAATATAAGATTCAAAATTGTGTAATTAAAAATAACAACATTAGCTATGTAGTCACATGTGTTGCATCATATTATTGCCTGTTGTAGACCCAACAGTGATGAGGGTGTCGATTGTCCATCGCTGCAGCCAAATCCAACAGTGATAGGACGTTTTGACCCGGCAGTGATTATAAAATCTAGTGTAGTGAATGCTCAAACCAGAATTATTACAACGGAGGAAATAGAGAGAGAGAGAGAGAGAGAGAGAGAGAGAGAGAGAGAGAGTGGTAGGGGTTGCACTATGTTGATTTAGGGTTCTTGGTGAGATCGTCCAAGTGGGTCTAGGTCCGATCATCCCCTTCTACGAGAGCCCATACCTTCCCTTATATACTGAGGAGGGCATGGGGTACAAAGCGAATGGTTCTTTACCTAGGGCTTCGGTCTTCTTCTTCGTGGCGCCGTCGGTCCTTCTTTGTCCTCTAGCTGGGGGCCGACAAAACCACAACCACTCCCTAACACCTCTGCTGCAGCCTGGCGTAGCCCGCCTGGTGCCGCCTGCCGCAGCGGCGCCTTCCCCTGATGAGCCTTCTCTTGGCTTCTTTGACACGCCAGGCTCCTTCTGCCCGAGGTTTTGCCAAGTGGGCCCGGAAGTCCCTTACTTCGGGCTCCGACAGATCCATATCCTAGAGTGTCATGCCCCGGGTGTGACCCTGCCAAGGATGGCCGACAACGCCTCGTGGCTGTGGAATGGGACAACAGTGTAGTGCTTCTGCGCCTATTAGACGACTTTGAGTGTCTAACAGATTCCGAAGCTGCCTTCTGGCTTGGCTCCGGATGATTGTTGACTCCGAGCCAAGGTTGGGATGGCCACGAGGGCAGTGGCTTGGTCGGGGCCCCCTTAGGCGGGGAATCCCCATTGTCTTGGCCGAGTCCCTGAGCCCCGAGCGATGGCGACTTTGCCTTTCTCAGGCTCACCCCTCTGACATCGAAGACACACCCGATGAGTGTAGCCCTTGCCCCCAGCATATTCGGAGAGTCAGCCGGGGGTTAATAGGACTGTCGCGTTCTTAATGTGGTTCTGGACGGAACTTGAGGCTTCGAACATCAGTTAAGAACTAGTTGTATCTGCAAGTGAAGTGGCTTGCTCGAAACTAGAAGAAAATCTGATCGGAGGGAATAACATATTTGGTATAAGTAGTTTGAAAGTTTAGGTGCCTCCGAATGATGATTAATAAATATTTTTCAAGATAAAAAAATATTTTTTGCCAATTTGAAAACTAGAGTATATGTGTTTTCCGTTGATAATTGTAGAAATATTATTTCCTTTTATCCAGATTACTAATGTGGGCATTTTCCATGCATCTACGTACTATCCAGAGTGGCCTGCAAAGCAAGCTAAAGCCAATGATAGAGGAAGCCGTGGCAAGCCTGCTGAACGACAATGGTGCCACTGCCGACGCATACTGCAGTGGCATTGCGATCGCCGACCTGGGCTGTTCCTCCGGTCCAAACACGCTTGCGCTTGTGTCCACAGCCGTGGACGCCGTTCGCTGCCGCTGCTCGGAGCTCCAGCAGCAGCCACCGGAGCTGTGCATACACCTCAACGACCTCCCAAGCAACGACTTCAACCTGGTCATCAGGAGCCTGGCCACGTACATAAAAACCCAAGAAAGCTTCAGACCTCCTGTCTTAACCAGCATCGTCCCGGGCTCATTTCACGGGCGTCTCTTCAACAAAAGTAGCCTTCATCTAGTGTGCTCGACCGCTAGCTTGCACTGGCTCTCAAAGGTTAGTATATATCTCTTCTTTTTTTATATATACGTAGCTTTTTTCTAGATTGCATTAACCGGCCGGAAAATATAACATTAATAGGCACCTGAAGACCTGGTGAGGAACGGAATCCCGTTTTACGACAGGGATGAGGCGGTGAGGCGCGCTCGACGTTCCACAGTCATCAAGGCCTATGCTCAGCAGTTTAACGATGACTTCACACGGATCTTGTACATGCGAGCTCAAGAGATGGTTCCTGGAGGCCGGATGGTTTTCTCCCTTCCTGGGCAGAGTGCCATTCTGTTTTTGGAATTCACAAATGCCATCCTACACGAAATGGCGTCAAAGGTACTGTATATTGTTGGCAAGAAAAAGGTACACTGTATATGTCAACCATCACGCATATGCAGTTATTACTAGATATAAGTGTATAATATTTGTGGTGATTATTAACAGGGTTTGATCGATAATGAGAAACTTGACTCTTTCTACATACCATTTTACGGGCCGTCAGAGAAGGAGCTGAGGGATATAATAGAAGCTGAGGGTTCATTTTCAATCGACAAGATGGCTCTCCATGAATCTCTTGATCAGAATGTCATTCTCGCGCCAGACACAGCGGCGCGCACAGTTAGAGCTGTAATGGAGCCAATCATAACGCAGCATTTCAGCCCATCTGCAGATGCTATGGACGAGTTCTTAAGGATCACGGAGAAGTTCATCAAGATGTCGCCTCTAGATGAGTTCTCTCCAAGTAATTCCAGCGCTTTCGTTGCTGCGTCCCTCACAAGGAGGACATGATCGATTGCACCGCCGTTTGTTTACAGTGAACAAGAGTGGCAAACTTGCGTATATGTATGTTTGGCAAATCACAGGATTACATGCATGCATAAACTATAATAATGAAATGTTTTGTGGGACAAATTTTAATTAAATCCTGGTGATATAATATCCGGTGTGTTGATCGACTTAGCTTTACGTGCTCAAGTGATATGTTTGAATGTTTCCATGTAATTACTTAGCTTAGGTACTCAAGTGAAATCCAAAGTTTCTAGACATAGTGCATGCAAAAGACGTGCAAATATAATCTTAAGCATGCGATTTGTTAAGAAGTTTAGATTTCAATTGAGTGCATATGTTGAGAATTACATGGAAAAAGAATGATTTTTGGTAGATGTTTTTTATTTTTAGAATACATTTTAGGGCTAAATAGCTTAACTGAAAAGTCAAACATACTACTATGAGAAGAATTTTATTTACAAGACTATAAAGCCTATGATGCTTACAACCAAAATGGATCGTGCTTAGTTTTTAGCATTTATATTTAAAAATTATATTTCTAAAGACTTGTGGGTTCTTTATTTTAGATCGACAAATTTCTTAAAAAGCAGTGTAAAAGCTTTGAATGTTTTCTTGGGGAGTATGACTTTCAGGTATTCTGAGACGATTTTCATTAAAAAAATCATTTTCCCTTGGATAATTTTTGTAAACTTCATTTTCCCAGTGGATTATTTTAAAAAGTAGTTCCACAAGAAAACGACAATGTTTTTTTTCTGAATTTTAGCAGATACAAGGGATATTTTAAAAAAAATTATGAAAATGTATTAAAAATAATAAAAAAGACCTCTTCGGAATCTAGGGTTCGAAGCCATGATTGGATTAACCCTTGTTTTTAACTGCTAGTGCTGGTAAAGCTACTCTCCATGGAGAGATCATTAACATCTAGGAGACAAAGCTTGGGCCTCTTATCCAAATGTGTCATCACCTTTAGGAACTAAAGGAAAGGGTCCGAGCTCTATCAAGAAATTCGAGAAATTAAAAAAAGAAAGCTAGTAAAGAACCCTATAGTATGTTTCAGGCACAAGGCAGGTTGTCTGTGTTAAGTAAAATGTTTGATAAATGGATTTTGGCAAATGGGTGAGCTGAAGACAACTGCCTTGGTCGCAATAAGGACCGTATGTAATATTCCATGAGAATTTTTCATTACTTTCTTCTTTTGTGCATGATGTTCGTAACCAAATAGATTAGACCTAGTGCGAACTTGTTTCCAAACTAAGTCACATCACATGACTAAATATGCATAGTTTAGAGAGGCCAGCTCCTTCGGTGTCCGTAACTACTACTCTGTAGCTGTAGCTGGCTACAAAATAACTTATTCTGTAGCCACTTTAAGTTACGATAGTTACTATGTTAATTTACGAGATTATAGTAACTTCTTGCTAAGTGGTTTACTACAACGTTATGGTAAATATCCCCATGTGTTATAGTAACCCAACTATCGTAAATATGTATTGACATTATTGTAAATTAGTATATAAAATTATCGTAAATGAATGTGGTATATATATATATATATATATATATATATATATATACCAGCTACAAAATAAGTTATTTTGTAGCCACATTCATTTACGATATATATATAACTGGAACCAATCACATGACACACACAAAGATCATTACACATCCCAAGCCTTGTCCGTAGATGGAAAGAAGAGAGAAGCGGGGGCAGGGGTTTCTCGAATATTGGTGTCAGTAAACTACAGCTCTGCACATCATCAGCTTCCAGAGGTGTTACCGGTCCTTCCAGGAGATCGACACCGCGCTTGGATTCAGTCGCCACACCCTTTGCTTAAGGAGGACAAAAAATTAGAGTTCCCTGGAACTGTATATAAAAGAAAATGTATCACTTCTGTGCACAAAAATGGATACACAAAAACAACAAGGACACTGTTATTACTTGTAGGTGGCGAGGGTAGATCCTGCGGTAGTGAAGTATGAAGCAAGATCTATATGCAGGTCATCATACATGCTCAGGAATGGATGATTCTGCATCGAAGACAACAGGAAGGGAAGGGTAAGATAAGTGGTTTAGTCTTGCAGACCATTCCTGAAATGACCATGAAGATGTGAAGCTGTTTTTTTTTGGCTTACCAATAAGGCTTGTGCTGATGACCTATCATTAGCATCCTTGGAGACTGAAAATCACAATGAAAACATATGCATCAGATAGTAACCTTCTCTGGACAGATTACATAGCTGGACAAATCCGCAGATAGAGAATACCAAGACACAGCAGGAAACATATGATCCAAACTTTCTTGGTGTTACCTTCTACATGCTTTTCCGTGCATATGTAATATACAAAGCAGGCATATTTTGACTTGAGCAATAAAACCATGAACAAGATATGCAAGCACCCCCATGATGTCATTTTAAAATACTAGTTCATAATTGCCAATGCAAAAATAATTGCTAACATGTCTCGAGTAGCTTAATCGCAGGTAAGGATGTCTATAGGCAGCATTGGTATAGAGCAGTGTATGATTACCATGCAGAGATGAACGCACAGAAATCTGGTGAAAACTGGTCCCATGGTGCAGATGGTGGTGATTGCTCAACAACAGCTACGAGAAGTTCATAAAAGCTTTCACAAGGAGGAAACGGAAAGTTGCCGGTTGCACATTCCAGTATCACTTGTCCCAAACTCCAGATATCACTCAACCATGTTTCGTTCCACTGATTCTTTCTGTCTGTCAAGACAGAAAAAATTGCTTTGGGTCATCAGAGCTAGTAAGATTCAGATTATTTCACACCAAACTGGAAGACACATTTGTGAGCTGAAAATCTTGCACTCACCGCCATGTAGTTGTATGTGCCAATAAATGTATCTCGTTGTCCAAAGGAGCTAAAAATAATCAGTCTGTTCGCTTGTTGGTTTCAGCCAGGGCTTATCAGCCAACCAACAGTGTTTTCCTCTCACAACAAACCAGCACCAGACGGGCTTATCAGCCCAGAAACCAACCAGCGAACAGGCCGAAATGACACTTACACCAAAGTCTGATATTTTTACTTCACCCCCTATGATTTATCAATATATTCAATGGCTTCAGATCACGGTGTATAATGAGCTTCTCATTATGCAAGTATATGAGTCCTTTTAGTATCTGCACAAGAAAGGTTTAATTTCAATTATAAGGTTCATGAGAGTGTAGCATGTTAGCTTTAGTATTATGCAAGTATATGAGTCCTTCAGCTCACCTTTGATTTATGACGATAGTTATCTGCTTTTGATTCCCTGTTATGCGTTAGATAGAAACTTGCTCTAGTGTTTAAGGGGAAATGACAGCTGCGAGCTCATCCGTGTCTTTGTGATGTCCATTTTGATCTTCCCATGACCTGGAATGTGAACCTGCAGTGCTATTATTGCTTGAAATAAAATCTAATCTAGCAAAATTAGATTCTTTTTCTCAATAAAAAATATTGAAGTGGGTTGATACATATGGTACATTATTTCAATAAGGCTAGTTAATGTCTCTGTGCTACATCATATATATTTTCAAAATGAGTGGGTGATCGGTATTGGATTTGGACTACAACTGACTATTGTTAGAACTTTTGATCTGCTTGAATTTTTTTGCCTTTGTTTGTTTCTGAAATGAAGTAAGGATGCTACTACAATTTATTTAATTGAAGAGCTCTTAATCAAATTGGGTTTGCTGTAAATTTTTGACAATTTGAAGTGTCTAGCTTATCATTGTCAAACTATTCGAGTCATGGCAAAATAAGGTTTGATAGTTTAAACTTTTGTACATTTCTGTTTCATGATAACAGATAGATCTTGACAACCTGACCCCTTTTCTTGTTTAAATTATGTCTGATGATATCTACGTATTTCTCATTAGTTTCAAAATTTAATAAGTTTGTGTTTCTATTTTATAGTAAACACTACAGAACTTGTCTTTGCTATATTATGTAAAAAAAAGCCACTCTAACTGGAGATAGCTGTGTATTTCTCATCTCTATACTGTGTACACATGAGATTTTTCTGATTGAATGGAATTCTGTTGGAGTTCACTTAGCCACAGTTACTGTTTACTGTCTCCTATTTTCCTTATTTCAGTTCAGAATGAGTTGCTGTTAAATATATAGAGTAGAGCTGATGGGTAATGGTGTCTTTCATGTCTTGGATACCAATCTGTATCTGTATGTACGTGTGTACTTTGTGATGACTTGGCTTTTGGCAGTGAATGTTACATGTACTACCATGATAGTCTAAGTATGTTTTCTAGCGATCTTTGTTTGACATGTGCTAACCTCTTATTTCTCACTTGCGTTTGCAGGTAATAACACCATAAAGGTTGTCAGATTTGGTAAAATCTAGCTTTTTCTATGACTTTGGTGAGTGTTTGAATAGTAATGGACCTGGGATGTGAGACTTCGGTTGTATCTAAGATGTGCTTTATTTTATTCTGTAGATTTGAATATGGTTGGTCTGATATGGCATTGAATGTAATGGTATTGATAATTGATGGAAGGCCTATGTACTAAATTCGTTCCAAATTGTAGTTCGTATGACTTTTTTGACTCTTAGTTTGACCACTCGTCATATTCAAAAATTTATGCTAAATATCACTACTTTATTAACAAAAGTTCTTCAAAAATGACTTAAATTTGACTATGTTTGTATTAATTTTTTGAATAGGACAAGCGGTCAAACTTGGGGTCAAAAAAAAGTCAAACGAATTATAATTTGGAACAGAGGGAGTATTGAATATGCTATTGTAAAGCATATATTGGGCTTTTTTGTTTTTCAATTGGCTTGTTTTTGTTTCGGCTGGTCTAGAAAAATGTAGCCTAGAAAAAAAATATGGGCTGACCTAGAAAATATATGGTTTGGCATGGCCAAGCAAAAATGCTATGCGGGCTAGTCCTAGTAGTATTTTGTGGCCTCAGCCTAAAAATGGGCTCAATAATAAAATGGGCTGAATAAGCTTTAAAAATAAAATGTGCTGACT